AAGAAGGCTATTGTTTTTTGAGTGTTGACCTTGTATCCAGCTACTCTACTGAATCTGTCAATTAAGTCTAGAAGTCTTTTGGCAGAGTTTTTTGAATCTTCTATGTAAAGTATTATATCATTAGCAAGTAATGACAGTTTAACTTCTTCCTTTCCTATCTTTATTCCTTTTATTTCTTTCTCTTTTCTAATTGCTGTGGTAAATGTTTCCAGAACAGTATCGAGCAGGAGTGGTGATAGTGGGCATCCTTGTCTTGTTTCTGATTCTAGCATGGAAGTTTTCAATTTTTGACCATTTAGTATGATGTTGGCTGTTGGTTTTTCATAGATATCCTTAATCAGGTTGAGATAAAGACCTTCCATTCCAATTTTCTGTAGTTTTTTTTTTTTAATCATGAATAGGTGTTGGATTTTGTCAAATGCTTTTTCTGCATCATTAGAGATGACCATGTGATTTTTGTCCTTGGCTCTGTTAATATAGTGTATTACATTTATTGATTTACATATGTTGAACCATCCCTGCATCCCTGGGATAAAGCCGACTTGGTCAGGGTGTATGATATTCTTGATGACCCTCTGTATTCTGTTTACCAGTATCTTGTTGAGGATTTTTGCATCTATGTTCATTAGGGTGTTTGGCATGTAGTTCTGTTTTTTGGTTGGGTCTTTCTCTGGTTTTGGAATCAAAGTAACACTTGCTTCCAGGAATGAATTTGAAATTGTTGCTTCCCTTTCAATTTCATTAATGAGTTTAAAGATTATTGGCGATAGTTCTTCTTTAAATGTCTTGTAGAATTCAGCAGTGAAGTCATCAGGATCTGGGCTTTTCTTTGTCGGTAAATTTTTTTATTACATTTTCAATTTCACTCATTGTAATTGGGGTGTTTAGAATTTCTATATCTTCTTCACTTTGGCAATTTGTATGTATCTAGGAATCTGTCCATTTGTTCTGTGTTTTACCTTTTATTAGAGTACAGGTTCTCGAAGTAGGTATTGCTCCTCTGGATTTCTGCTGGGTCTGTTGTGACTTAAGCTTTTTTATTCTTAATTGTATGGATTTGAGCCTTTTCTTTTCTTTTTTTGGTAAGGTTGGCTAAAGGTTTATCAATTTTATTTATTCTTTTGAAAAACCAACTCTTTGATTTTTTTTTGTATCATTCACTTAGTCTCCATTGCACTGATTTCTGCTCTGATCTTTATAATTTCCTCTCTTGTATGAGCTTGGTTTTGTTATGCTCTTCTTTTTCAAGGAGTTTGAGCTTCTACATTAGGTTGTTAACTTGAGTTCTCTTTATTTTCCTAATATGGGCATTCACTGCTGTGAATCTCCCTCCTAGCACTGCTTTCATTGTGTCCCATAGATGCCTGTATGTTGTACTGGCATTATCATTTACTTGTAGAAACTGTCTAATTTCTTCTTTAATTTCCTCTGTGACCCATCGGTTGTTCAGGAGGGTGTTATTCAATTTCCATATGTTTGTGAGGGTTTTGCGGTTTCTTATGTTATTGATCTCCAATTTTGTGGCACTATGGTATGATAATATACAAGGGGTAACTTCATTTCTTTTACATTTACTTAGACATGTTCTATGAGCTAGCCTGTGGTCTCTTCTGGAGAATGACTCGTGTGCAGCCGAAAAGGATGTGTATCTTGTGTTTGCCCATTAAATTCAACTGCACCCCATGCCCCCTTGATTTCACAGCTATGTGAGGCAACAACTCAAAATTTAAGTCGATCTACACAGGGGATTTTATATTCTTATTTCCAGGAATACTCAACTTAGTGTTCTGAAAGTTTTAACATGAATCAATCTCTATTCAGTGCCAAGGAAGTACTAGTACAATTCACAGAAAAGAAGATATTCCCAGAAATGACACACCTGGGAAATTAAAGCTCCTCTAATTTAGTACTACAGTGAGTGTCTTACAAATGTAATATGAATTTCAAAATGTCCCTCCTGAAAAAAGAATGTTCTTTGCAATTGTTTAAATCTATTTCCAGTGTTGCTTACTCTTCTTGATTGAGAAAGATAAAAGACTGTGTCAAATCTTGCAATTAGATTTTCATCTTATTTTATGCCATATGATGGGAGCACATGGAGTAACACCTACAGTGAAACATGTGCTGAATCATGCAGGACCATTACTTCATTCCTGTGAAAACATTTGAAGACTTAATTATATGCAAGTTAGGTTTTAAATGCAACAGCGAATAATGTGTTTAAAAGGAGATCGTGACTCTGTAAAAACAGAGCAGCTCTAAGAAAAGATGACAGTAGCTTCCCTTTTCTTATAGGAAGAAAATGAAAAATTAACACTGAATGAGCCTTTACAACGATTCTCCTCAATCTATCTTGAGTGTAGGTGAATCAGGGATTATAAGGTGCCCACAAGGTGAAATCTATCCTTCCCTATCAGAGAATTCAAAGATGAGAGTTTGAGCTCATTCTGCCTTTCAAATATCTGCTCAAATTACATCACTCTGTACTCCAGATGTCCAGCACATTGGGACATTTATCATCTACACTCTGATCCTTTGTTCCCTGACTCCTATACCCTGAAGATCTTCCCCAGGACCCAGGGATTGATGGACACAAGAAGAGACGCTGCATGTTTTCACTTTTATTCAATTATTAGGTAGGATCATAATCAAATGCATAGATTGTCTTATGCTTCTCAAGATATTTTGTACATATCTAATTAAAATATAGATTAAGTAGAATTATACTCAGGGCCCAAAATAACTATGCTTTCTATTTCCTCTATACCATCTAAATTCCTACTGTTTCAAAGGAGCAAGGGATGTTCCTTCTGCCCTGATATCTTTATGCACAGGGAAGTTAGTTCAGATTATAAGAGGGATCTAACCACTATTTTTGTTAGCTAATATATTCCTTGAGAAAAAGTCTGAGTTTTCCTTTTCGTTTTCCTCTAGAGATAAATATAAGCATGGAAAGACAAAATAATGTTTCTGCCATGGATGTTTTTTGATTTTGTGACTGAGGTTAATTTGTGGGCAAGGTTCCTTTCTGCTTTAATTAGTTGTGTTTTCTCTTTAATTTCTTTGAGGAAAGAAAAGATGCTGCACATTATAGCATGTAGTGTAAATATTGAAAATTTAGTGGGATAGGGCCGGGGATTTAGCTCAGTGGTTTCACCGCCTGCTGTGCAAGCGCAAGGACCAGAGTTCGATCCCCATACCAAAAAGCAAAAAAAGAAAATTTAGTGGGATGATTCTTGATCAGCCTTTAGTATGGGGATTCAGCTTTAATAATAAATACATGACAGGCATTTTGCTAGGCTGTTCTGGTTTAGAACTAAAACGTCCCCCTAAAGAATCATGGTTTCAGCCCTGGGACTTTTGGAAGGTGATTGGACCATAGATGAATCCAATGATGAGTTCATAGCTGAATGTGCAATTAGGAGGTGCAGCCTGGTTGGAAGACCTGGGTCACGGGGGCAAATCCTGGAAGGCTGCATCTCCCTCTTTGCTTCCTGTTTTCTCTCTGTGCTTCCTGGCTACTTTGGGTGGAGCAGGTTTTCCTCTGCCCAGTACCTCCGCTATCCTATTTCTGCTTTGGAGCCAGCCAACCATGGACTAAAACCATAAGCCGAAACAGACCTCTCCTCTAAATTGCCAGTGTCTCAGCAACAGGGAAGTGATTCAGGCAGTTAAACGTCTTTCTCTAGCTCTCATTTAAGTAATTCTTTTACCATCTTCGGTCTATTCTTGCTGTAGGAAAATGGATCCTACTCTTAAGGGAAAGCCAGCCCTGGGAGAAGTGGAGACTCCTTCAAGGAGTCTGTGTTCCCCAAGGGTAAATATTAGGAAAGTTCAAGCTATCTACAGGGGAAGGCTGAGTGGAAAGAGCTGCCTGAAAAGGATCAGCTGGTTTTGACTTGGAGCTCAGAAGCCAGGTGTGAATGGAGATGCTGTCGCATGTCTATCTCAGCTGTCATTGACTGCAGTCAAGTGGGAAGTCTGGCCCTACAGCAAACTGCCCACTTGAACTCAGCCAGACTGCAGAACTGAAGAAAAGAAACAACAACCCACTATTTATGTTTATGTTTATTGCTTTTAAAGTCTAGAAAGAGGATGTATGAAATTCAGGAGTATTGTAGCTTACTAAATGACAACTGTTCAAATGCTACACAATAAGCATAACATACAAATCACTTTAGATGGTAGGTAAGTTAATGTCTAAAACAGCCACTGGAAAAAATACAATGAAAGTCCTTTGTAAAAACAATGTTCTGTAATTAATAGTAGATCTTTAGCAAACTGACAAAAACATTTTTTTCTCAGGTTTAAATTTAGTTTCTGGTTTCAAAATTGCAAGTTAACTATATGGATTTGTTGTCACCTTCATAATGCGGGAACAATAATAGTACCTACTCTTAGAGAATGATTGGGAATGCTAAATCTGTTACTGCACAACAATGTCTCCCTAAGTGCTATGTAAAGTTTCATGTTACCTTTATTTATACTCCTGAGAATTTCTTTGATCATTTTAGGTTTCAGTCATTTACTGGCCACAGAAATTAGAAAAGTTCTCTCTAAGGTAGAAATCAGGACAGAATTTTTCTTTTCTCATTCTAGCAGATTACAGTGGTGCTTGCCAGGGAAACTACTCCCTAAGGAGAGGGGAACGTGTCTCTACCTAAGTACCCAAGTAATAGGTGTTTCTCATCCAATCCTCATAAAAAATGAGGGGCCCCATAATTCCATGAAAATCGATCCAAGCACCATATTTAACTTATTTTTCCGACTCCTCCTTGAAACTAAATTAATGGTCTTTTTTACTAAATCTCTTTTCCTACTAAAACTACTTCAAAATTTTGCTTGTGGATAAAGAATTAGCCTCACCTGAGACATTAATCTCAGACCAGGCCTGGGTTCCTCCTCCACTCCTGCATGGGACACCTGATCTTACACCTTCTAAGCTCTGCAGGGAGGAAGTGCTGGGTGGAAGATTTTTTGTTTCATGAGAGTCCTGTGCTTTCTTCATGAACTGTAAGTTTTGTTAGAGTTTGGAACATGTGAGTACAGGTTTTAGTCAGCTTTAATTAACCTCGCAAGTTACCAGCTGTATAAATGAGGCTGAATTCATATCATGCTTCTTAGCCAACTGCCAGGTGAAAAAAAAGAACTCCCAGTTAAATTTGAATTTCAGATAAACAGTGTTGCCTTCCTAATACATCTACCATAATATTTCAAGGGATATAGTCATCTGAAATTAAATTTAACTCGGAGTCTTGTTACAATTGTGAGCTGATAAATCTGGATGCCTTAGATTTCACTGTAGTCAGCTTCCTCAGCTCTGGCATACAGAGATAAAACTGACTTTTCAGACTTGTTTTGTGTTTAAAGTTGGTGGTACTAATTAGTTACTGATTTTCTTTAGGTTTCTACTCAAGTGACGCCTACCCCTTATAATTTTCTGTGGCTAACTTGTCTGAAATATCAACAGTCTTCTTATCACCTCATCTTCCTGCTTTGTTTCACTTTTCTCTTTCTCCTTATCCCTTTCACTATTTAAAATGCTCCACACTTTACTTCTTTATCTTATACAGTGGACCCTTGACTTACAAACTTGATAGGTTCCTGAGGGCTGGTTGTAACTAAGTGAATACAGCTGAGATCTGGATGTTTACCTGGAGACATGCTATAGATAACAAGAGGCAGATGAATCTTCCATGCACCTAATTAACCCAAGTTGTTCGTACGTCAGGCTGGTTGTAACTTGAGGGCCCACTGTATATTATCTCTCTAATTAGAATGCGGCTCCATGAGGGCAAGGACTTTTGTCTGCTTTCTTTACTCTTGCATTCCCAGTGCTCAGAAAGTTCCTGGCACATAAATAAATAATTGTTGCTTGAAAGAATGAACGCATTGATCAATCAGTGTTTGTTTGGCTGCTATGACTTTTCTATTCCACACAACAGAGTACAGAAGTTCTAGTTCAGTGAATATATTGCTCTGTGAGCACTGAAATATTAGTGTCAAGAAAGCAAGAGCTAATAGATATAATACATATGGGTAGATCTCTGATATCCTAGGCCTGAACCGAAGGATATGTAGGCCAGGTAAAGGCATATAGACATATAGTAGAACATATAGAAGAACTAGTTCCTAGTTATAGCAAGACTAGTTACAGTTTAAGAAGAGATCCAGCAATATGTCTCTGTTTTCAGTGGTGAAGTGTTTCCCCAGAGACATAGTGCAAGTAAACCACTTTTCTTTTGAAAAGGAACTGAACAAAGAGATTTTAATCAAGTTCACAACCTAAATACAGTACTTTCTAAGTTCACCTTTCTTACCACTATAGAATACAGCTGCTTAAACCCTAGGAGAAGCTCTGAAACAAATTTTCTACCAGTCTTGGGCAGATTGACAAGCCTACATTTTATTGAGCCCTTATCCATAAAATGGGATAATTCTACCATCTGGCTCCCAGGGGCAATTAGAGAGATTTATAGGTCTAATTTGCCAAGTACTTCAGTAAAGAAAAGCACAAGGCTGCTTAGTCCATAAGTCATCATTTTGCACAACCTAATACCTAAATTCCTCAGGTTCCAGTAATTTATTTTATGGTTGCTTGACCAAAGAGTAGTGAGCTGAATCCTGAGAAAAACATATCTAAGAAACTCAGAATTATTTATACCTTAAACTTAGCTTTCTGAGCCCTTCGATGATATGAATCACTGTTGTCCATATGTGATTATATATATTTTTATATCCAACATGTAGTGATTTCTTTAGGTTCTCCATTTGATTTATAGTCTTCAGGCAGTTTTATAAATGTCATTGTCACTTTTTCAGAATGGATGGCTGCCTTGGGACCATTCCTTACTGAAATTTCCCAAAGACTTCAATACTCTGCTGTTTCTACTTAGCCCCAACCATCTCAATACTCAATATTTAATCACAGTGAAATTCCTTCTTGTATGTAAGGTGACCACAAAATGGGCCATTTATAATTGAATAAAGAGACAGAACGAGTATGAGAGACTGAGCCTGGATGGTCAGGGAACATCATAATCCACTGAGCAATCCATTGCTAGGAGGTTGTAAAGCACAGGCTCTGTTGTGTGCAAGGGAATGTATTTTCCCAGAACAAACGTTATATGCATCAGATAAGCAAATCTGGTAATTGCAACAACATTAGTAGCTCTTATTTACATGGCATTGATTGTATATCCCAAAGCACTTTCCTTCATGAAGTTATTGAATTATCAGAACAACCCTCAAAGGTAGAGTTTATAATGGCTTCCATTGTACAAGTCAGAAAACTGTGCCACAGAGCATTTAATTAACTTGCCCAAAATTGTACATGTAGTAAGAGGTAGAGATGAAATTTGAACTCATCATCATCTTCTTAAAGTTCTACTCTCATTCATACTGTTTAGGCCAGAAACAGATACTGGCAAATAAGCTCCTTCTGCCCTACCAAAGCTCCACCTGGAAGACATCAGTGTACCTTTTTGGAAAGGTGATCTTGACTTCCTACAGCTCTTTCTCACTGAAACTTTGAATTTTGGGGTACCAGCTCACTGATTTGCTCCTTCTTAAGTTTCTATCAAAAATTAGCTACAAATGAAATTAAGTCCATCTCTTTTTTTTTTGTACCGGGGATCAAACTTGGGACCTTGTGATTTCGAGGCAGGCAGCAGAACCATTGAGCTAAATCCCCGACCCCTAAGTCCATCTCTTTGATTTGGGTTTACAGTGGGCCCTTGAGTTACGACCAGTCTGACATACGAACAACTTGACTTACCACCAGAATTTTAATTTTAACTTACAAAATCTTGAGTTGAAACTCCAGTGCTGGCCATTTGTGCTTCCAGATGGTCTCAGATACAGATGTAACCCTTAAAGAGTTCTGGAAGGAACATTACAACATCCTTTCCTGTGTGTGGTTAATAGAGAAATCCTGGGCCAATGTCTCTCTAAGGACACTGAGATCGGCCTGTGTACAGGAGAGAGACTTTGAAGGCTGTTAGAGGAGCCTGCGCCTTCGCTGACCAACTTGAGTTATAACCAACCTTCACAAATGAATTGAGTCTGTAAGTCAAGGGTCCATTGCATTTATTTTTTATAAGATAGAAGTGGAAATAATTTTGCTAAATCACCATTCTAGGTCAGACAATCCACTGAGCATCTTTATAAGATCGTTGAATAGAATAGTCGTAAAAGACTTCAAACTAAGACACATAAAGCTTAATTAACTTGGCCCAAAGATGTGCACCAAATAAACGATAGAACCAGGACTCACAGCCTTGAGTTTCTGGCTCCAAGCCAGTGTGACTTATGGTACGTGATGCTATTAGTTGAAAACTAATGAAGGGCCATATAGATGTGGATGGGAATGCGTGTGTGTGTATGTATGTGTGTGTGTGTGTGTGTGTGTGTATATATATATATATATAAGAAACCAAAACATAGGGGAAAATGTATAAGCACATGACGCCAAAGTTTAGAGAACAAAAATGTCAGCAATCTCTGGGTGTGTCTCATTAACTTACAATGGAACTGCGTACCAGACTCTCCCTAGGTGCTTTAGCTTTGAAGACAGAGGACAGTCATAACAGAAAGGCTGGCCAATTTGCCCTGTGCTTCCTAGCCCCAGGTGTTGCCTGTGTGAAAATCTTTAAATTTAACTAGGAAGTCTGTTGCTATGTTTTAAATTCATAGGAACTTTTTAAGGATAAGTGAGCTAACTTGCAACTATTGCCTGACTATATTATACCCTGAATCCTGTTTTGTTTTTACTTTGAAAAAGCATAAAAGGGGTGACTAATAAAACACAACCTTTCCAATGTCTCCATGTATTCTTTTTCAAAAAAGGGATATCTCCCCAAATTATGTTCTTATATTTTATGATTTTTGTTTTGTTGTATTTCTACTTTGTTATAATAAGTAAAGATTTTTAGGTTGTGGTTGAAAGTCACCCCTCATTTTACTTACTGTCTTTTCTGAAAACTTTTTAGGAATGGGTTGTACCTCCTTTCTTCTAAATATTTTTAAAGGAAGTAAGTAAGAATATTTTAATGCACTATGTCATATCTTTTGTCCCCACATGCTTAGATCTCTTTTCTTTCTTAATCATCCAGGTTCTTTTTGTTGTTCTTCCTCTGACCTTATATAATATTGGCAAGAATGGTACAGACATTCTTGGGCTCACTGTCTTCAGACATTTTATGATTAATCATCCAGTTTTCTTGATATGTATTAATCTAAAAGGATAATGGGGTTTCACAGATGTAAAAGCAAATTTGCCAATGAAATTTGGAATACTAATATCTATCTCTAGGCCTTCAGAACCCTCTTTGGAGGCCTGGAATATGGATGGCAATGTTTTCACCTTATGTACCTTACCTGATCAATTGATATCTGTGTGACTGATCCATTATATTGAAAGTAATGCTATGCGCCTGTGTGAGTTTAATTGACATTCCCAATCAGTTTAGTGATGATGGTCATGATTAGGAAACTTGGATATGGTGATTCTCTGACCAGAAAGTTGTTCTATTCAAGCCTCAATTTTTCTATTCAATGACATTTTCTAAGTTTATTCCTCAGGATAACCTGAATATACCTATACTGTCATAGGTTTTCACCATGTTCAACAAGTTTTATTATTTGAGAGTTCTTACTAGTATCTAACTGCAAAGATCTGGTGTAATTCAGAGCTATTTCCCCTTGTTCAGTTCAGGGGTACCTTTGCTGTACAATGGCTTCTCTTATATGTGAAGGCTGTTATTAAAGAATGGGCCCGGGGATTGTCCAGGGAGGGTTGGAGGCTGCAAATTGGGACAACTGCAATCGGAAATGCATTGTGTTGTATCTCCAGGCTGAGAGATTCATCTGTTTTCAGGAAAAACAGACATTCCTGTTTCATCCCAGCAGGAAGGAGAGGAGCTTTTCGGAAGAGAACACAGGAGTACAATAGCACCACCTTACACAATGCAGGCTCATAATGGAAAACAAATTTGACCCATTTTATAACAAAA